TCACTACCTTCTTAAAACATTTTTCCTCTTGGTTTTCCAAGGGTCTCCCTCGGATGTTCCTCCTTGGTCTCCTGTTTTCTTTTGCTTTCCTGCACTGTACTCTCCTATATTATTGTGCCCAGACTGTGACCTTGGCCTCTCTTCATTCCTTCCCATAGCTTCACTTCTACCTTAATTTAAGACTGATAATAACCAAAATGTTGTCTCCATCCCAGACATCTTTGTAAGCTTCAAAGTCACTAGCTTCCTGTAAATAACTATCCCACGGATCCTGAAATGTAATATGTAGAAACTTGATTCACCAACCTCTTCCTCAAATCTGCCTCTCCCCCTATGTTCCCATCTCAGTGAATCCACCCAGTTGAATATCCTCAACCCCTAAACTGTTCCTCAGTCCCCACAATCATTCACTGAGTTAGACACACTCTACTTCTTTGAAATCCCTCAAGTTCATCTTCTTTTCCCCACCCTTTTTGCCCTTCTTAGCTCAGGCTCACATCACTGTTGAACGGGATTGCTGCAACCAGCCTCCAAAGTGTTCTTTTGGCTTTCAGTCTTTCCCACCTGCAATCCATTTCCAAAACTTCTCTTTGTAATCTGGCTCCTGCCTCTCTCTCCAGACTTACCTCCTGCTACTTCCTCTCTGAGCTCTCAATCTTATACACTCCAGCCATATTGAATGGCATACATTTCCCTAAATGGGCCACACTTTTGTACTTCACATTGTCCCCTTGGTCTGAAATGACCCCCTTCCATGTCCTTTGCCATGCAAACTTCTTCTGTTCTTCTGGACTCGGCTCAGTATTGTCGCTCTAGTGGAGTCTTCCATAGGATTTCCCTAACCTTCCTGCGGGATCCTTGCCAGTCTGTATTTACTTTTATTATTGTAATTTTGCTCTCTGAGCTGTGACTGTTACCTTAGATGGCAAAAGAGACTTTGCAGATGGGATTAAGTTAAGGATTTTTAGATGGGGCGGTTATCCTGGATGACCTGGGCAGGCCCTACATGTAGTCCTAAATTTCCTTAAAAGGGGGAGATTTGACACAAAAGATGGAGAAAGGGGCCACTGGCTAAGGAATGCTACTCTAAAAGATGGAAAAGGTAAGGAAACCGATTCTCCCTCTAGAACCTCCAGAGGGAGTTTAGCCTTGCTGACACCTTGATTTCAGCCCAGTGAAATTTATTTCAGACTTCTGATCTCCGTAACTATGAAGAATAAAAATGTGTATTTTTTTAAGACTTTATTTATTCATTTGAGAGAGAGAGCAAGAGTGGGGGGGCAGAGGGAGAAGAAGACTCCCTGCCAAGTAGGGAGTCTGATGAGGGCTCCATCCCAGGACCTGAGATCATGACCTGAGCTCAAGGCAGATGCTTAACCGACGGAGCCACCCAGGCACCTGTAAATGTGTATTGTTTAAAGCTATCAAGTTTGTGTTCATTTGTTACAGCAGCAATAGAAAACTAATATCCCGGGGCATGCAGGACCCTTCATGCCTTAGAGGGTCCTGCTCTAGGACTCTTCCAGCTGTGTTCCTTCTCTTGGGGTGAATCTATGTCCCCACATCTAGGCCAGGCATCAGGTATCCAGTCCAGAATTCTTTACTCAAGAAATTTTTACTCAAGGTCTATTTCCAGGCCTAAATATTTCTTTCCCCAAGTTTGTCCTTTTGAGACAGACTGCTGGTGGGCTCATGCCTGGATCTGAAAGGTATTCAAGGGAGCAACTGTTTGTGGAGGTGAGCCACTCTGTAAGACAGTAGAATGAAGGGCACAAGGATGGAAGCTAGGAGACCAGAGAAAGGCTTCTATAGTAATTCAGGCAAGAGATGATGATAGTGGTGGAGATGGTAAGAAAAGGCTGGACTCTAGATATATTTTGGAAAGTAAAGATAATAGGCTCTGCTGCTACATTGACTAGGAGGTATGAGAGAAAGAGAACGGTAAGTGTGATTCCAAGGTTTCTGGCCTGAACACCTGGAAAGATGACATTGCCATTAACCTAGATAGTAAGAAAGGGAAAAAGAGCAGGTTCTTGGGGTAAAAGATCAGTGGCCCAATTTTAAATGTAGGATATTTTGGATGCCCATTACACAGCAAAGTGGGTAGTCAATTCCATGTTTAAGTGAATCTTGCCCTTCTTAAAGACTGTCTTCCAGCAACTAGCATAGGGTCTTGAAATAGGAGATTGTTAATATTTGATAAGTCAGATGAATATGTGACATTCCTCCATAGAAGTATTTCAAGATCTATTCACACTTTTATATCCTCACATAGTCAAGTTGGTTAATTTGAATCCTATTGACATTACACAGCTTTGCCAACTGCGTAAGTCAGGATATTAACAACCTGATTGTTTAATATCTTCTTGTTCTTGGCTCTCTCAAACATTTTGATTAGGACTAGGGCTGAAGTTGAATATTAATACCAAATGGATTAAAGTCAGATCCATGGTCCCTGTGTTATTATCCCAGTGTTGAACTTTCTTAATTCACTGATAGCAAGGAATTTTTCTCTGTAATTATAAAATGTATAATAATATTGACTTCTTTGTTCCATCTCTGAAATTCTATTGTTTTTCTCCACCACGTGTTTGGAAATGTTTACAGCCAGAGCTTTTGTTATTTCAGTATGCTTGAATGCATTCTAGATACTAATAGTGCCTGAAAGTGTCTGATGATGCTGAATAGTCTATGAAGGTTAGTTCTTTAGAAAATGTTAATTTGATGAATGAGCAATAATGCTGATCTTCCTGGCTCTAAATTTACAGACACTATAAAACCATTTGTCTGTAAAACTTAGCATATTTCATAGTGTTAAAAAGGTCAGATCTCTGTTGCAAGATGTTGGAGACTAGGTTGTTCATGCACATGCTTTTGTATCTTCTATAATCAAGCTATTTTTCCCCTTTACTCTCCTGAAGTTTCTCTTGTCAAGTTCACCAATGATATTGACATTAAAAAATCTATAGTCATTATTTTTAATCCTTATTTTACTTATCTTCTCAGCAACATTTGGCACAGTTGACTGCTTCATCCTTAAGCACCGTTTCTTCTTTATTTTGGATCATTGTGCTCTCTTGGTGCAATGGTTAATTTTATGTGTCAACATGACTAAACCACAGGATGCACAGACATTTGGTCAAGCCTTATTCCTGAGTCGTTTTTGGATGAGATTAACATTTGCTGGTAGAATGAATAAATAGATTGCCTTCACTAATGTAGGTAGGCCTCATCCAATCAACTGAAGGCCAGAAAAGAATAAAAGGACTAAGTAAGAGGGAATTTCTGTTGCCTGAATGTCTTGAGCTGGAGCATTGGTCTTTTCCTGCATTTGGTATCAAATTGAAGCATCAATTCTTCTTGGGTCTTGAGCCCATGGGCTCTCCTGGTTCTCAGGCCTTTGGAGACAGACTGGAACAATACCATCAGCTTTCTTGTGTCTCTGGCTTTTTGACTAGAGATCTTGGGACTTCTCAACCTCGAAAACTGCATGAGCCAACTCTTTGTAATAAATCTCTCTCTCTATGTGTGTGTGTTTATTTGCCGTAGGTCATCTCCTTCACTAGAATGTAACACTATGAGCACAGAAACTTTTTGTCTATTTTGTTCACTTCTGTATTACCAGCCTTGGAATTGTGTCTAGCAAACAGTAGGCACTCAACAAATATTTGTGGACGGTAGGAAAAAAAATTGCTTGTGGGATTTTCCTAAGGCCTAAGATCAATAACAACTTGTGCTAGTGTGCATATTTCTTCACAGATGCTCAGAGCATGTCCACATATGTTATCTTATTTATCCTCACATCACCCTGTAAGAAGGGGAGGAGGGGAACCATTTAACTATAACTCAGAGCCGTTGTTGGAATTGGAATGTTTAGTCCTTGGGAATCTTAATGCCCTGTGTTTTGAAGATATGAGCACCTCAAAAGGGCTGCGGGACATACCTTCACTTACTGCATGAACACAATGTATCTTAGAATCCTGTCTTTGAAGAATTTATGTTATTTTATAAGGCTGTGCATTTTGCTACAAGAATTGGCCAGCAAGAATATACTCAGTCAATATGAATTTTAAACATTTAAAATTCTTTCCAGACTGGAAAAGCTACAACTAAAAGTTGTGGTTTCAGAACTCATAAGTGCACTCATGTGGTAAGAGGAAGGAATGGTTTCAGATATCCTCTGGAGTTTGTCTTCTGAACCCAGAAACCAAGGAGTAGATTAATTTGCACAGATAACACCAGTAACCCTTTAGTGTCCTATGAATACTGTTAATGTGACTATCTTACTCCCTCTCAGCCCCCCACCTCAAATATGTATTAGGTATTTCAGTGACAATTTATGAACAACGTGCAAATGCATATGGTTTTCTACATTAAGATTTCATTGGAGGGAGATGATACATAATGAACTTTTTAAGTAAAAGTACTAATATTCCAGCTCTTAAATAGTAATCAGGTAGTCACATGCCCCAAATTACATTTTTATTATGTGTTTACTTGTGTACAAAATATGTTGTAATTTACTGATGCATGTGCAGCAAAATATACTATCACATACAACAAAAATACACCTTTTATTCTTCTTCCCCCGCCCCTGAAAATGGCAACACTGTTTTGGCAGTTCAGCAGCTAAAAATAAAGTGCTATAATTAAGCAGTATTGGAATGTCTTCACTTGACAATGTGATGTACAATTTGAGTATACAACCACATCTTTGTTAGTTTTTTCACAGAACAGGAAATCCCACATCCTGACCTGAACACCTCCAGAAGATACAAAGATTTGTATATATATGTACACATGTATACACTGTATATGTAAAGTGCCAAAGAGCCTCTTTGTCTTTTGAGTTTGATGTATTTATGTTTATTCTTGCTTTCTTTCTTTCCAAAGTCAGAATCACACTACTGGGATCTCTGAGTTCAGCAGCAGGCACCGAGAAGCTCACTAAAGGCTGGCTTGTTGTGGGTGTGGTGTTGGTGAGAGGCCGGAGGGAGCCTTCAGACCTCACTGGGGGACCTAGAACGGAAGGGCACTTTGGACTGGAAACAGCCACAGAACAGGAGCCACAGGGCACGCTGAATCTCCTGGTTGCGGAAGGCATAGATGATAGGATTGATCATGGAGTTGTAGGTGGCGGGCAGCAGGGTGGCGTAGGTATAGACTGCCGGGTCCTCGCGGCTGCCTACCACGCAGTAGATGGCGAAGGGCAGCCAACTGGCGCCAAAAGTGCCCAGCACCACAGCCAGGGTACCCACACCCTTTCTGGTGGCTGCGAGGTGGGGCGGCGCCAGGCAGTGCTGCTGCAGCGCGATCTGGTGTGCGTGGCGCCAGACCACCTGGCAGATGCGCACGTACAGGTGCAGCATGATGCCAAAGACCGCAAAGAACGCGGCGGAGAGCAGCGCCACGTGGCTGCGTGTCAGCGGGCGCACCACGCTGCAGGTGGCGCGCTCTGCTAGGCAGTTCCAGCCGAGCACCGGCAGCAACCCGAGGCCTAGGGACACCGTCCAGGTGGCGGCGAGCAGGAAGTGCACTCCCAGCAGGGTCCGGCGCGAGTAGTAGGTGAGCGCGTTGTAGAGAGACAGGTAGCGGTCCACTGTGATGGCCAGCAGGCTGCTGACCGAGGCAGCGAAGGAGGCCACGAGGAAGCCTACCGTGAGCAGGCTCACCGTCTCTGAGGGCACCACGTACTGGAACACGAAGTGAAGGATGAGGCCGCAGCCCGCCAGCAGGTCGGCGGTGGCCAGGCTGCCCACCAGCACGAACATGGGCGTGCGCAGCGCGGGGGTGGACGCGATTAGCGCCACTACCAGCGCGTTTTCGCCTGCGATCACCGTCCCCGACACGCACAGGAGCACGTCCCAAGGATTCACCGCCGACAGCAGCAGCCCTGGCGGCCCGGCCGGCAGCTGAGAAGACAGCTCCAGGGACACGTTAGCCGCGCCGCCGCCCCCCAGCGCCGCCGCCGCAGGGGGCCCCCATTCACCGCTGTCCCGCGCCCCTGCCGCTGTGGCCGCCGCCGCCGCTCCCTCGGCCGTCACTGCCACCACCTGGGACTCGTTCAGCGAGGAGGCGCTCGCGTTCATCGCGGCCTCTGGCTGCACCCTGCGTGGAAAAGGGAGAGCAAGGGTCAGGTGTGTGGTTCAAACCTCCAGGGAACTTCCCCGGGTGCCTGGCTCATATTGCTCATCCCACCCGAGGACCCCAGAGCGGAGCGAGGAAACAGTATTGTTTTATTTAATTAATTACCTGTTGAGTGACTGAGCGAACGTGTGAGTGAAATGCACACGAATGCCCGCAGAAATAGAGCTGAGTTTTTGCACAGAAGTGTACACGGATAACATGCACTCGCCTGCACACAGATCAGTCCCGTAAGTGTGCCTGTAATTGCACACGCACCCGTTTGCCCCGAGCTACGGGTATCAGCCTTCGCGAGTCCCGCCTCGGCTCCCGCGGAGGGGGTTAGGCGTTTTCCTAAACTGGGCGGCGGAGTCGCTGTCCGCGGTGCTGAAATCGAAGTTTCTGAGGTTGCGGAGTCCAGCGGGCCCTGAAGGCCACAGAGGTCCCTGGGAAAGGAGTTTTGGGGAGGGAAGCTGGGTGTCTGTGTATTGGGGGGATGTGGAGCCAAGCGTGGCCCCATTTCTCCGGCTTTAAGGACTCATCCCCTGGCCATCCTTCACCCCTTCCCCACTCCACACCCTCAAAGTTCCTCTCGGGAGCCGGGCTGCTCACCTGGGGAGTCAGGGCTTCAGGAAGTCGCTGATCATGAGCGCTGCGGCGGGGCGCCAGGCTGCGCTCCCCGCGCGGTCTGAGCCTATGCCTGCGGGGTGGTCGGGCCCGCGCGGAGCAGAGCGCCGGGCGCCTGTGGCTGTGCGGGCGCCGCCGAGAGTGACAGACACAGTCAGAGGCAAGAAAAGGCGGCTAGGAGCAGCGCGCCCGCTGGAGACTGACAGGCAGGGCGCGGTGACGTCAGGCTCTCGGCTCCTGGGTGCGAGGCGGCACTCACTCTGCTCCACCGCCCATCGCTAACCCCCCACCCCCGTCTCTCCTCCCCCAAAATACGTGTCAGAGGGTTCAAGGAGGGAGGAGAAGCCGGAGCGGCCGCTTCCAGTCCAGAACGTCCAGGAATGGGATGAGGGACCGAGGAGAGGGAGAGAGGAATGAAGTCTTTGAGGAGGGTGAGCTGGGAGGGGAGGGACCAGGTGTGAGCTGCTCGGCCGGGCCGCGTAGCCCACGGTCAAAGGTCACTGAGAAGCTCAGGTCGAAGTACGCGCCCCTGAGAAAGGGTAGGTAAGAGCAGGGAGGTCTGACCACAGAGTTGCTACCTTTAAAAAAGATGCAGTACTGTGTTGAGAGCAGGAATGAATGAACTAGGGGGAAAATGAGCTTTCTGAGAGGATGTTTGTGGTACTGGGTGTCAGTTGAATAGAGCCAGAGGAGAAATGTAGAATTGAAGAGAGAAAAGATGGGACATTTGAGGAGAACAGCCTTTTTGGAAGTTACCTGTGCAATTCCTCTCTCTCTCTTTCCCTCCGTTCCTTCCTCTCCCACCCACTGTTTTTCTGGAACTCTATACAGCAGGTTTCACCATGATTTCCCAGCTCACTGTTTCCCAATTTCAGTGTGGATAGTGCCCTTGGAACTTGCTCTTCAATTAAATACCAGGTCTGTGTCTCGTTAGAAAAGAAGAAAACAGCAAAATGTGATTTACTTTCCTGGCAACAGACTTTGCCCTGTTAATTAGTACCCTATAAAACAAATTACAGGATGAAAATAGTGATAACTCAGCTGCACCAGACTTCAGTAGGCAGGAGTTTTATTTTCAGCGCAGATAAATCATCCCTTTGGTTTAAAGGTGTTTTGTTTTGTCAGTAAAATACAAGTAGTAGACTTCTTCTTTTATTCAATCAATCAGAATCTCCAATAGTTGTACTTGGGCAAAAGGTGAAATAATTGACTCCTTCGAAGGCTCTAAAATAAATGATTGAATGTTGGCATGATGGCATAACACCGAGGTCACAGCCATGACTTGCAGGGACCACATGCTCTGGGTAAAGTGAAAATAGACAACATTTGCTATTGGTGCTTCCCCTACTTTTCCCTCTTCCCTTTCCTCGCTTCACTTTCCCTCTAGCCCCATGGGCTCTACAAGGAAAAAACAAAACAAACAAAATAAAACTCAGACTGTGTACAGGCTGGGGTGGGAGGTAGATTTTTACCCTGGCTTTTTCTCTCTAAACATAACCCCCAAGTCCAGACTCCTTCTGGACACCCTGCCTCAATGCAGCTGAACTTAAACTAGAGGGAAAAAAGACAACCATAGGACCATTCAATTCTTTGCTGCAATAGCCAGTGTGGACAATAGAATGAGTTTATACACAATTTCTCTACGTTGGAAGTTTATAAAATTCTCCAACCACCATTTTCGTGAATCCCCAAACTGACTGAAGTTCTAAGTTTCTGAAAAGAGCCATTTTGAATTTCAGTAAAAGACTCTCATGTAAAAGCCAAGAATGTTATTTCAGAGCAGTCAAGTGAACAGCCAAACCACTGTAACAACATGTTAATTACAAATTTTCCAGACAATCAGATAAAGGCCCAAGAGGAGGAGAATCCTTCTTAATGTCTATATGTGTTACATTTTTACATGCCACAATGCAGCAGAAAGTGTGAGATTCAACCTGAACAAAGAGGGTGTTTTGTACACCCTCAGGCTTTCACCATTGCCAATAGTGGAATTTTTGGTGGTTTCAGGAGGAAGATAGTACATGTAGAATTATGTACATAGATGCAGGTTGAGGGTTTGTAGGCTGTCTTTTCATCATGCCAGTCTGTGGTTACCGCTTTCAGATGCTAGGTTGAACCTTGAAAGCAGACAGAACGTGTTCTTTCAAGCTCCTCCTTATCTCCCCCATGCCAACTCATCTCCTGGGAGACAGAAGATGGGAAAGAAGAAACGTTATGTGGTTCATTAGCTATGAATGAATATTACACATACTTCGTTACCTACTCTCCTAACAGCTCCTCACAAGTATCTGCCCTTCCAGTGGTCCTCTAAAATGTTCAGCCTATGAGCCATATGACATTTTCCACTCCCAGCCCAGCTTATGGGAGTAGATTGACACCTGACCCAAGGCTAAATAAGACCAGCCATCCTTTGCTGAACTGGTGACCAGATTCCTCTTCTTAAAAATTTGAACTAAGACACTTTGTGACTAGGGTCAATCAATGTTGACTTTGGATGTAAAAGATCATTACAGGTTAGGGCTGGAGCGCTCACGTTGAGCCTTGTGTGAAATGAGTAATCAGAGGAAGCCAGGTGCAATGAAAGAATAAAGCAGATGTGCAGAGACGAACAGAGATGAAGATCAAATGACTGAGAGATGGAGGGGATGACTTTAGTCACTGAGTGTCTAGTTCCTGACTCTGGGAGTCTGGATCTCTAGATGCCTTGAAATTGCCATTTGTGTCTCTACTACAAACCTTCCTAATCTTGAGCTACCTTGAGTGAATTTCTGTTCTGTAATCATTGGTACTTGATGAAATGTATTATTCATCTACCAGCTTGTCTAGTTCTGGTTATGTTTCGGGGCATGCAAAATTTGGTTTCTGGCTTGTAGTCATGGGTTAAATTCATCCTTGCCAACCCTGTGACATGCCCATCATATCCTCTGGTGCCTTTCTATTCTAGCACTATCTAAGCACTAACATGAGAATGCTTTCCTGTCTGAGGTTATGCCCAGAAATTACAACCTCTCAATTACAACTCTTTCTCTGGCTCCCCTGGGTAACTCTTGCCCATTTCAGCCTAAGCCAGTGGTTCCCAAGACTGGCTGTGCATTAGAATTACCTAGAAAGCTTTTAAAAAACTATTCATTCCTGGATCCCTCACCCAAAGATTCTGATTCATTTGATCTAGAGTGAGGACTGAGCATCAAATTTTCTAAAGAAAATTTTCTCTAATAGAAAGCCAGGGTTGAGAACACTTGTCTAAGCAATTGTACAATCTCCTTCCTTATCAGTTTAGCTTGCAGCAAAACTCCTGAAATGGTGGATTGGAGTTTGGAATGATTGCAACAAAGGAATTTTAGCAACAATCCAGTCACTTAATTTCAGATTTAAAGCACTAGCCAGATATCCTCTGCAAACTTAATTTTCCACACCCACAAGAGCCTCCATTATGGCCCAAGATGATTGCTGACACTTGGTTCCCTTTTGGCTCAGATGAATTCAATGCCTCCCATCAGGGAAATCTAAACTCTGGTTGCCCTGGGCCCTCTATTTTTCTGTAACTCTCTCGGGATGCCTCAACATCTGTCTCCTTCTTTGTTCTGTGTTCACAGTTGTTTCCCAGATGTGCCTTCTCCTGGCCCAGATTTTTGCAAATCAATTCTGTTTTACAAAATTAGAGCTGCAGTCAGTCAAACTGTCTAAACCTTATAAAACTAAGTTGGAAAGACCCAAGCTAGCAATTCTGGCCCATGTCTCTGGGCATCTGCAGACATCCTACCTATACACACACACACACACACACACACACACACACACACACACACACAC